TGAGGTTTCTCGTTAGTGTTAGAAATTTCTGGCTGAGGTAGTTTGTTTTTTGAATAATGATGATCTGATTGGGTTTCTGGAGTTTATTTAGTTCTTTGTGAACTTGACATCCTTTATAATTATATGGGTGAAGCCCGCTGAATAAGGCATATTTTGCTGTTTCTTTTGTATCTTTGATGCACTAAGATCAATTGTATTTTCCACCACAATACGATCTCACTTAGAATGGTGATTACATGAAGCACTGATAGCGGGTGTGGCCATACGATTAATAGCACACACATTGAGGGGTATCTTTCTCGAAATGAGGATCTTCTATGATTTAGAGAAACACAGTAAAGATAATGAACATTTGGGAGTTACTTTTGGAGAGTTATAGATGGATAAAAAAAAAACATTGGTGACTTGATTAGCCTGTGAATTACATTTATTATGATTCTTATTTGGAAACAGTATATAGATACATACCTCATATTTACCACACTTAAGTCATATTTAATAAAAACAAGTTTATAAAATAACCACAAGTTATAAATGTTTATATTAATTTTGTTTTTAATATTAATAATAAACCATAATATGATAATGATATTATTATTTTATTTTGTTTTACATATTATAGGGTGATTTTTATTCACTTAAATATTTCATTTATTTTTTTTAAAAAGCTATAATTTAACTAACTTTATCTACGACCTCAAATAAAAATCATTTTTTTAACTAATATACGATAAGATGTAATTTCTAATATTTATCCCTACTATATATAATATCTGCAACGGTATTCTGTAACTCGATAAAGTAGCTTAATGACAACTTTCGATTCTTTAAGCTAACAAAAATTCTCTCATCGAATATAATCGATAAAAGTGATTGTGTACTACGGTTGTTCGTTCTGGGGAGGAAACTGATTCTCAACTAGTGGCCAAGTAGCCTACGTCACACTGTATTTGGACCTAACGGGAAAATGATGCAAAAATGTTTTGCACTGGTGCCTCAAAATTGTAATTGTTGCACTTTATCTTAGAACCTTACAATTGTGATATTCACATCTAATTATATAGCCATGCCAAATTACTGGTCTCTAATTTTGGTCTTCTCTAATAATTAAAACCAATATATCATCACCATATACTTTTCAACTCGTGCTATAGTACATATTACAGAACAACAATACTTTCATTCCAAACCATTCATACCTCTCAATCAAAAAAAAAAACTTAAGTACACCAAGGTTCTCATATAGATATTTGTATCACATACAATATACCTCAACTACTGTGCTGTTTCTGAATATGCTGATGAGGGATGACTAAGCGATCTTCTGTATTCACGATAATCCACAAATTGCTTCCGATTACCATCTTAAACATAATATCCAATCATGGGTATCATCATAACTGGAAAACCAAAGTGAATGGATAAATAAATCATTTTATATCACATGTTACATGCACATTAAATTATGACATATTTCAACTTAGCTTTGAATAATGTTCTTATACAAACTTTATAGTCTAATAAGGTACCTTGAGTAAACTTTAAGAAATAAATTGATATGATTCACCATATTTAATTTAGTTTTCAAAATGTAATACAATTATTCACTAACTTATTTTATTTACTGAGTTAAATAAGATATTTAAACGAAGGTACTCTCACAATTTGTCTACTATCAAAATCTGAACTTTTAACTATCACACGTTCACTATTCACAAAATACAAAAATAATTTTTTATAAAATATTCCTAAATCCAATATGAATTTAAAACTTCCATACCTTACTATAATAAAATGCAACCAATTTAAAACACAATTTTCCTATTTATAAAAAATACACAGTGTTAGTATGTTATACACAAAATCAAACCTCATGTTGAGACTTGTAAATGGAAAACGCAATATAAACCGTAATAGAATATATTTGTTAAAGTAGTTGATAGTTGTTATTGAAGTTCAATGCCCAACCCAACGTGCGGACAGAAATATTTACTATGGCCATCATAGTGTTTCAAAATCTATCAGAACAGACTTAAAAATATTATTATTATTATTTAATATTTTGTAATTATTGAAATAAAAAAAAAAAAACAGGCCAAGTGCGAGTTGGACCCTCGCGCGAAGTGTTCCGTATACCATAATCAGCTATAACATGTTAGGAACACTGCTTATATTATATGGTTTTTAGTATTTGTTGTTATAGCAGAAACAGAAATACATAATCTGTGAAAATTTCAACTTTCTAACTTTCATGGTTCATGAGATACAGCCTGGTGACAGACGGACAGTGGAGCCTTAGAAATAGGGTCCCTTTTTACCGTACGGAACCCTAAAAAACAATTCAGTCCACTAAGTCTAAATAGTTAATTTTTTAACATTTATGAAACAGGTAAGCCTACTAAATATTTTGAAAGCTCCTGCTGTGATAACATGTATTAACATTCATATACAATAACGAAAGTAATTTCGAGTGTTCGGTAGATACCTACTGTAACCATGTAGGCTGTAAAATTAAAACTCTATTACTAATATCTTCAGTTGGGGTGGCTTTTACAAATCAATACAATAAACAACCATAATTCATTGGGTTGTCAAAATAAAATATGCATATTCCCTATAATAATATAATTTTAAAGAATTTATACATTTTAAAATTTTAAAATAAAAAAGGTTGGCA